TTGTGTTTGTGTTTGTGTTGTGTACTTCCTGTTTGTGTTTGTGTTGTATGATTTGTGTTTGTGTTTGTGTTGTGTACTTCCTGTTTGTGTTTGTGTTGTATGATTTGTGTTTGTGTTTGTGTTGTGTACTTCCTGTTTGTGTTTGTGTTGTGTGATTTGTGTTTCAGAAAGCAGGATAAGTGTAAACCCTGGGTCAGTCCTGGGTGTGTACACATGGTGTGTTTAGTGTCTGAGGACAGAGTCATGTAGATGTTGTGTTAACGCTCTGCAGAAACACATCAGGACACACTGTTGTCACACTGTTACATGTTGTGTGTTTTCTGGATGAACGTTTGTTTGTGTGTTACTGTTTTTCACATGAGTCAGTAAAATATCTGAACAACATTCTCAAAGCTCACATCATGACTTCCACACAACGAGGACATGCTCTCAGCTCTCAGCTACGTGCTGCACTTTGTTTTCAAGCTAATGGCAGTTTTGTGTGTGTGCAGTGTTGTGTGTTCCTGTCACACACACACCTGACTGATAAAACAGGAGCTCCACACAACTGCAGGTATCAGTGAAAGTAATAATTTAGTGTGTTTTACAGTTCGACACTCCAAACATTAATTATCTAAACGTTAATTTTAGGGTTTCCAGATGTGACTGGGTGCAGAGTCAAAGTGTTTATTGTCATAAACACAGATGAAAATGTTTCTCTGAGCACTGAAACTCTTCCTTTGTCGTCCATTTTGAATGCCAACAGATAACATATTAACAAAAGAAACACATCCTCACTGACAGGACACAATGTTGATTCATTAAAAAAGAGACTAAACTAAGGATAATAAGATCAGAAGGGAACAATATAATGATGACAACAAGAAGGGAACTGTTTTAAACAACAATCTGTACAATCTGTTTAAAGTGTAGTGTGTAAATGTGCAACAGGTAACAGTGTGAAATGTGCACATGTGCAGTAATAATAGAAGAACGTCACATTCAGTTGTTTAACAGTCTGATGACTCTTGGGAAAGATGAGTTCTTGTATCAGGAGGTTAAACATGTCAGACCCCTGTAGCTCTGGAGGGCAGAGGTGGGAACAGTCCATGCTGGAGGTGGGTTGGGTCTGAGGACTGAGGCTGCTCTCCTGAGGACCCTGCAGTGGTAGATGCTCTGCAGAGAGGCAGTGAAGTCCCTGTGATCTTCTCAGCAGCTGTTACCACTCTGCAGGTGTTTGGTCCATGCTGGAGGTGCTGCTGTACCAGGCTGTGATGCTGCTGCTCAACATGCTCCTACAGTGCAGCTGTAAAAGTTCCTGAGGATCTTAGGCGACATGCCAAACTTCCTTAGTCTCCTCAGGAAGTAACGTCTCTGTTGAGCCTTCTGGACCAGCTGTGTGGTGTCCTCAGTCCAGGTCAGGTTCTCAGTGAGGTGGACGCCCAGGTATTTAAAGCTGCTCACCTTTTCAACCTCAACGTCTCTGATGTGCAGTGACCGGTGTGTCCTCCTTTCCTTCCTCACGTCCACTATCAGCTCCTTCTTCTTGTTGGTGTTGAGGGTGATGTTGTTGTCCTCACACCAAGACACCAGGACGACTACCTCCCTATCACTGTGGTGATGTGTCCTATCACTGTGTCCTATCGCTGTAGTGATGTGTCCTATCATTGTAGTAGTGATGTGTCCTATCACCACAGTGATGTGTCCTATCACTGTAGTGATGTGTCCTATCACTGTGTCCTATCACTGTAGTGATGTGTCCTATCA